GCTTAGGACTCTGCCTCAGAGTCATGTTTTTAAATGGATAAAATATATTGGACCATAGGGGAAAGTACTGTATTGATTTTTTTTAAAGTTCATGGACCCCAGGTTGAAAAGCCCTGTTCCAGTCCAATCCACTTATATTAAAGATGAAGAAACTGCGGGTCAAAGAGATTAAGTGACTTGCCTGAGGTCATAGAACTGAAATTCGAACCCAGATCTCAGGATTCCAAATTTCAGACTCTGCCCACTGTACCCTGCTCCATCCCCACTGCGCATGAACTAAAGATAGTAGATTTTAATGGGTCTGTCAGAATAAAAAGAAAAGAGTAACATGTACTGCTAAATTTCCTTATCTATGGCCGGGCTTACCCAGGAAACTTTCACCTGCTAAGAGTTTTTGTTTTGTTTGTTGTTGTTCAGTTGTGTCCAACTCTTCATGATTCCATTTAGGGTTTTCTTGGCAAAGATACTGGAGCAGTTTGCCATTTCCTTCTCCAGCTTGGTTTTTAAAAATACAGATAAGGAACTGAGGCAAATGGGGTTAAGTGATTTGCTCAGGGTCACTCACATACCTAGTAAGTGTCTGAGGCTGGATTTGAACTCATGAGGATGAGTCTTTCTGACTTCAGGCCTGGAACTCTATCTATTGTGCCACCTAGTTGCCCCCTGCTAAGAATAAACCTCTCATAATAATAATAATTCTAATAATAGCTGACAATTATGTAGCACTCACAATGTGTCAGGCACTGTGCTAAGTGCCTTACAAATATTACCTAATTTGATCTTCACAACAACATTGGGAGGTAGGTGCTATTATTACCCCCATTTTACAGATGAGGAAACTGAGGCTACCCAGGGTCACACAGCTAGGAAGTGTCTGAGGTCCCATTTGAACCCAGGTTTTCCTGACTCCAGAATCAGTGCTTTAACCACGATACCACCTAGCCACCTCTCTTGCCTTCATTGCCAGGATATGGGCATTCTGGCTAATTCCGCCCAAGAATGCCTTAATTGGCAGTTGCATTGGTAGCTGTTATTGACTCAGCTCAGTGGTGTAGGCCAAGATGGAATTGAGTTGTGAATGGCCTGAGTGGGATGGGGTTGGGGAAATGACCCTCCTCTCCATCTTCCAGGCTCACCTGAGGAGAGAATAAGGAAAGCTAAGACTCAAAGCCTGGCAAATGGGAGGTGAGCAGGGCCTCTCTATGGGGTCAAGTAGCAGTGGCAAGAGGAGACTATGTCATCTGTGACTGCAAATGCCATTTTCCACCAGGGGTTTGCTATGCTCATCTTCCAAGACAGAGCATGGACATACAAAACCCCAGGGCTGGCTGCTTTTGATTTCTGGCAGATACAGAGAAGCAATGTAGTAAAGTAGATAAGACGGGATTCAGCGCTGGAGGACCTGTTGGCTGACAGTGGCTCTGCTACTTAGCCTGTGTGTCCTTTGGTAAGCACCTTCTCCCTGAGCCTCAATCTTCCCCATCTGCTAAAAGAGGGACTGACCACATTGGGAGTTCTCAAACTGGGACCCATGCACTTGTTTATTAGGGAAAAAATGAGAACTGTATTTTAGTATAGTTGATTTCATTTGTAATCCCGTGTACTTTATTTGATGCTTTTAAATATATGATTCTGAGAAGGGGTCTATAGGTTCCCCAATCTGAAGGTCCTTGTTGACATCTAAGGAATTCTGCTGGCAATCTTGTAGTTTGTTGGTTGTGTCTGGGGGAGTCTTGTCAAACACATCACATTCCTTCATGACTGAATCTCGTATTCCAACCAAATAATCTGGCCAGGATAGCAGAGAGAACATTGGATTTAGAGACAAAACCAGAGTTCAAATTCTAGCTCTCTTGCTTATGACCTGGATGTCCTTAAACAAATCACTAAACCTCTATGGATCTCAGTTCCCTCTTCTGTAAAATGCAGGCATTGCCCGTGGTCTTTTTTCTAGTGCTAAAGCCCAAGATCCTAAAATAATAGCGGCACACATAAATGTCATGCTTTATGGTTTCCAAAGCATTTGGCATACATTATTCCACTTGATTCCCAGAATGACCCTGACAGGTAGACAATAATAATAATAATAATAATAACTGTTATTCATATAGCCCTTTCAAAGGCATCATGAAAGCCATTCACCGATAGATAAGTAGTCAAAGGATATGAACATACAGTTCTCAACAGAATTGCAAACTATTAGAAGACATAGAAAAGATTGTTTCAAATCACCACTAATAAGATAATGCAAATCAAAACAATCCCACATTTAACCTCACACCCAGTAAATTGGCAAAGATGGCAAAGGGTGGGTTGTGGAGGGGTTGGGGTGGATGTACAAATAAATTGTTGATGGTTGAATTGGTCCATCCATTCTGGAAAGCAATTTGGAATGATGTGATTCCAAGTACCAAACTTTGTCCCAGACATTTCCATTGCCAAGGATATACTCCACAGAGATCAAAGATAAAATAAAAGGCCCTGAATATAACAAATTATTTATATCAGCACTTTCCATGGTGGCAAGAACTGGAAGTCAATTAAATACCCACAGAATAGGGAGTGGCTACACAATCTTTGATACACAAATGTAGTAGAATATTATCAATTACAGCACATCCTTTCATCACTGAATCTCATATTCCACCAGAACACAATGCTCTGGGTAGCAGCAAGAGTACTGGATTTAGAGAGAAAGAGTCTCTTTCATCAGAAATGAAGAATATCATGAGTACCGAGATACATGGGAAGTCTTTAGACATACAGATAAACACATATGTATCCCTTTATGGCTGCAAAATGTTTCACATACATTTTATTTCATTCTTGTAGCAACTCTCTGAGATCAATTCTGTAAGTATTGTCTTCCCTATTTTTCTTGAGGAAATTGGGGCTTAACGGGAGTTAAGTGACCTGCCCAAGGTGAGGCGAATAGTATAACAGTAGAAATAGATCACGAACCTGAGTCTTTGGACTCCACATCTGGCATTCTTTCCATTATAACACAATCACCTCTGTTGGCACCCTTTTCCAAGGAGCAGGTCATGTGGCTGGACCTTGGAGGAGACTAACTGAGGCGGTTTTGCAGAATATGAAGAGTAATTTCCATACTCTCCATGGGAATCTACAGCCCAGGCTGGCTCATCTTGGGAAGCCTGGCCCCATTTTTTGCTCTAATAACAAATCCCCTTCATCAAACCCAGTCCCTTCCAAGGCAATATAAATCCCCTTGTAATGACCACTTGGTGTCACTAGGTTATTCAAATGGACACATCACTTTAAAAAGAGCCTCTCCCATCTGCTCTGCCCATTTATTACCGATAGAGAAGGAAGTAGCTCGAGCACGTTGGCACATAAAGTGTGCGGAAAGAGGTAATTTAGATGCAGGGGTGTGTGCCTATGTCTCCCACCTGGTATCTGCCTTGCATTTTCCTTCCACTGTGGGAGGGAAGGGTGTCTCATCAGATACAATCAATTGCTACTTAGACTGCATCCTTTTCCACCTCCTGGTGAACTGAATTGATGCCCCAATTGTTGTTTTATTTTTTGGTTTTGTTTTAGTAGGACAGCTCTGACCCTGATGCTGTTGTCCTAGAGGCAAGGCAGTATATCTTTATCTGACATTTTCTGTTGCTATTTGCTGCAGAAGAAGGAAAATAAATGTTTCTTCCAAGGTTCATTCTAGATTTCTCATCTCCCCCTAACGAAAGGTGGGTGCCTCCTGTTTTATGAAAACAGTTCATTTCATGAAAATAAAAAAGCAAAAAATAACTAAGAGAATATGTTTGCTTTACAAAAGGAATTACAGACATTACTTTAAATGGATATCATTCTCAATATGATTTGCATAGCACAGATGTAATTATCATAGTATATTTTAGAAATAAAACACAGGCTTATAGCATCATAGATTTAGAGCTAGAAGGGATCTTAGAGGTCATCCAATCAAACTCACCCATTTGACAGATTAGAAGACAGAGGTAGAAGGTTAAGTCATTTGTTCAGGGTCACACATTTATTATGTGTTAGAAGTGGTATATGGACTCAAGTCTTCTTGACTCCAAGTGTCTTGCCCTATCTATTCTACCATGTGCAACCCATTCATTGAAGTAAACTCACATACTTCTGGACTAAGGCATGGAGTATATGTATTCACCTCAAAGATGAATCCACCTCTGGCTCTCTTTCTGACATCATGTCGTAACCTCATCTACCAAAGAGGAGCACACGTACCCTGTGACAATGTCTTCCATTTTTTGGGTGAATTCAGAATGTCTACTAGACAGATGGATAGATCAATGACTGAATGGGGGCTGAGATTAGGACTCCAAAGTGGAGTCTATCATCAGTCATTTACTTTGTTCTAATCCAACATGCATTTATTAAGCACCTACTATGGACAAGATGCTATATTAGTTACTAGTGATGTATAAGAATCATAGAGTCATGATTGTAAAGCTAAATCTATGATATAATAATCCCATAAAGTCTATTCTGCTGTGTTTCAGGTTTCTTTTATCTTTAAAATAAAGTGGTTGGTTTATCAGGGGTGGGGAACCTGTGACCTCATGGCCACATATGGCCTTCTAGGTCCTCAAGTACAGCCCTTTGACTGAATCCAAGCTTCACAGAACAAATCCCCTTAATAAAAGGATTGGTTCTGTAAAATTTGGACTCAGTCAAAAGGCTGCACCCGAGGACCTAGAAGGCCACATGTGGCCTGGAGCCCACTGGTTCCCCACTCCTGGTAGATGGTCTATAATACTCTTTTTGCCTCCAATTGTATAATCAATGACTCTATAAAGTCCCTTCCCCACCTGGGCATCAGTTTTTTCAGGGGTAAAATAAAACAGTTGGAAGGAACAGTTTTGAATGTCCAAGACAGCTCCAAACTCAACAACAGTATCTGTCCTATAGGATTTTGATACAAAGAAATTCAAAATAAGCTTTTAGATCATATCTTTACGCTCTGTGAATATCTTGAGAATTTCATCACCTACCTGTGTTGTAGCCCCTCCCAAGGGCAGGCCATGGTCGGTGATTTTTCCACAGGTTTCCCAAGTACCAATCACTCTGGTTCTCCACCAAGCCCAAAACCTGTTGACCTGTAAAGTAAGTGCAATGGAAAAACATCAGCAGAGGGGAGACATGGAAAATAATAACAACAATAGTAAATGCATCAGGTAGTAGAGGAATACCTGGTCTCAGCATCAGGTGGTGCAGTGGATAGAGTGCCTGACCTGGAGACAGGACCTGAGTTCAAACCTGACCCCAGACACTTACTACCTATGTGACCAGGGGCAAATGACTTAACTCTGTTTGCCTGTTTCTTCATCTTTAAAATGAGAAGGAAATGGCAAACCACTCCAGTATCTTTATCAAGAAAACCCCAAATGAGGTCACCCAAAGAGTCAGACATGACTGAAATGACTCAACAACAACAAAAATGAAGCCTGCTGGCTGTGTGAGCCAAGACTGAGTACATCACATCACTTCTGGAGCCACAGGCCCCACTTTATAACTCTAAGCTGGGGAGAAGGGGTCACTGCATAGTTCTTTCTTTGATGAAATTACAGGTACAGGCCACACAACAATAGCAAGCAACATGAACTCAATCTCATCAAGTGCTTTGGAATGACAAAGTGCCCTACACACAGTATCTCATTTTCATAAACCATGTGATCTTAATGCATAACAATTATAGGGCCCATTTCTGGGGCAATTTGCAATTTTTTTGTTCTGCAATATTCCCTGAGGCAAGGAGAGGAAGCATCTCATCAGCATTTAGAGACAAGGAATCTAAGGTTTATAGAAAGGAAGAGACTTATCCACCACCCAAGATATGTCATTGTATGCCATAGAAAAAGCAATGGGGTTGGAGTGGGACCATCTGACCACAAATTCAGAGTTAGAAAGGATATTAAAGGCCCTCGTCAAACTCCTTAATTTTACAGATGAGGGAAATGAAGACCAGGGAAGTTTGGTCAGAAAAGTGAGTCAGAGGACAGATTCAAATCCACATTGGCTCTGATTGCAGAGCCAGTATTAAAACATGCGTGTGTGTCTGTGTGTGTATGTGTCTGTGCGCGTGTGTATTTTTTTCTCCTCTCCCTCTTTTTTGTGGGCCAGTATACTTCCCATTGTACCAGAATCAGAGGTTATTGTGTTGTTCAGTCATTTCCAGTTGTGTTTAACTCTTCATGACTCCATTTGGGGTTTTCTTGGCAGAGAGGCTGAAGTGGTTTGCAATTTCTTTCTTTGGCTCATTTTACAGATGAAGAAACGGAGGCAAACAAGGTAAAGTGACTTTCCCGGGGTCACACAGGTAAGAAGTGCCTGAGGCCAGATTTGAACTCAGGAAGAAGTCTTTCTCTATCCATGGTACCAACTAGCTGCTTCTGGCCAGAGGACCAGGATTCACATCTCATTTCTGGTACTTACTATCTAGGGGCAAGTCACTTTACTCTCAGAGCCTCAGTTTCCTCATCCATAAAAAAGTAAAATAGATGATTTACCTCTAAGGTCTTTTCTAATCCCCAATTCAGGAGGGTATACATTCAAATGCTTCTCTGACATCAAGTCAGCATCCTTTCTTTTATGCCCCGTAGCCTCAAATATATATCTATTCTTCTATAACCTAAGTTCCTCAGGAACCATGAGGTTTCCATCGGTGCCCATTTATTCATTCAATAATTATTTAATATTAACTATATGTGAGGCACTGCTCTAGGTGATTGACATATAAAGGCAAAAAAGAAATAGCAACAGCCCTAAAGAAGCTGGCACCTAGATTGGGGAGAAATAACCGTACCACAAACAAATAAATATAATGTGATTATAAAGTAATCTGGGTGGGAGGAGAGAGCACCTATTGAGGACATCAGGGCAAAGCTTGTATGGGAAGTGACCCGGGAGTAGGGGGGGTGGGGTAAGGCTTTGGAGGAAGCTCAGCCTTCCAAGAGATAGAGGTGAGGTGGGATGTCCTCCAGGCATGGGGGACAGCCTGTACAAAAGCAGAGATAGGAGACAGAATGTGATGAATGGGCACCAGTAAGCTGGACTAGAATGTTGAGTATATGAGGGAAAACTGTGAAATAGTCTGGAAAGGTAAGGTGAAGCCCTATTATGAGTGGCTGGTGACAAACAGGAATTTGCATTTTATCACAAAGGTAATGGGGAGCCACTAGAAATTCTTAAATGAGTGACATAGCCCTGTGCTTCAGGAATATGAAGTTGCCATGTGGTTGGTGGATGGATTGGAGAGAGCACAGCCATAATTCTGGGAGACCAATTAGGAAGATGTTGCAATGGTCTGTGCAGTAAAGGGTAGGGACCTTAACTGGGTTTACGTCTGTGCAGATGGAGAGAAGGGGGCAGATGTGTGAGATGCTGTAGAGGGAGAGTTAAAATGTCACTAATTAGATATTGGGATGGCATGAGGGTTAGGTGAAAACTTGAAGATGACTCTAAGGCTATAAACTTAGGTGACTGTAAGAATGGTGCAATTGATGAGATCAAAAAAAGAATTCTGGGAATAGGGAAGAGTACGAAGCACAGGAAAGGAACTGGGAGCAATCTGGAATCCTTGACCCAATGAACGCAAATGGAGCAGTGCCATCCTCCTACCTTCATCCTGGAATACTGGGCCATGTGATATAGCATCTCTTCAGCCCAACAACAGCTCAGGGAAATGATGGTGTGTGAGGTTGGTGTAATTTATTTGATCAATTTACTGTGCCTGGAGCTAAATCATCATCCCAGCACAAATGCATAAATTAGAGGCACAGAAAGAAAATACTCAATCCACTGTATCATTTTATCTGATCATTTCCATAAGCTCCCTCTCCCTCTCTCCCCTCTACTCTCCATCTCTCTCCCTCTCCTTCCTTTTCCCTTTCCCTTTCCCTTCTCTCCTCCCACCCTCTCCTTCCTTCCCTTCCTTACTGTCTCTCTCTCTTTCTCAAACTCAAACACATACACACATACACACCCCAACCCAGTGATAGCCTGAACCAACCTGGGTGACCAAGAATTTCTGGATGGAATGGATTGACAAAGACTTAAAGTACCAAAGGTCAAGCTGTCTTTCCTGGGAAAGCTATGACCAGCTCTAGAGAGATGATCTTGGTAGGTCCAGTTTACATATCCCATATAAATGTAGGATCAAGATTTAGAACTAGAAGAGACCTTAGAGACCATCTTCCTTATTGTGCAGATAAGGAAACTGAGGCATAGAGAAGTTTAAGTGATTTACCCAGGCTCAATCAACTTGTAAATATCTGAGGTATGACATGAATCTAGATTCTCCCGATTCCAAGTCCATTGCCTGAGACAGCATATTGGATGGGATTCAGACACTATTTCAGAGAGACCTGGGAAGACTTGTATGAATTAAAGCAGAGTGAAGAGGGAAGAATGAGAACAGTTTATACTGTAACATCAATAGTTTAAAAACAAACAATTCTAATAAACACGGAATGAAAAAGACATTCCATGAAAACAGTTCATGTGAAAAAAAAATCTGGAGGTTTTGATGAACCACCAAAACCATGAGCTAACCAATGGTCAACAGTGTGTTGTGGTGAGTGGCCAGTGTGCCCTTAAACTACAATGATAAGAGGCATGGCTTCCTATATTGAGGAGGGAGGTAGTCCCAATAACCTCTGTCATGGTTAGAATATTTGTGGAATCTAAAAAGAATACAAGTTCCTTTATATCTTAGAATGAACCAATCAGTAGGCACTCATTAAATGCCTGCTATGTGCCAGGGAAGACAAAGAGAAAGACAACACAGGCCCTGTCCTCAAGGAGCTTCCATTTTATCAGGGGAGATAATGTCAACAAACATTTAAGTGTCTCCAGTGTCTCAGGAACTATGCTTAGTTCTGGGGATGCGAAGTCAGAAGATCCATGAGCACCTGGCCTCAAGCTCACATACTATGGTGCACGGGGCAGGGGGAACATCAAGTATCTAGCAGTCAATCAACAAACATGAATTAAGCACTTACAATTTGCCAGGCACTATGCTAAGTGCTGGGAATACAAAGAAAAAACAAAAACACTTCCTGCCCTCAATGAGCTTACATTCTTTGGCAGAGATGGTAGGGAAGGGGAGAAATCAAAATGTACACATATAGGCATATATAGACTTTATGGCTGTTCTTAGAGGTAGCAGGCTAATGCAATAACATTTCCTGGCACGTAGTAGGCACTTAATAAATGTTTATTGACTGTAGTGCCTTGAGGGTCACAAAGCACTTGCAAAGTGAATAGATAGCTGAAGCAAAACAATTCTCACCTTCCAGACAATGGAAGAGGAGCACAGAGAGGTTAGGCAACTTTCCAAGGGTCACACAGACACAAGGTCAGGGGGAAGATGTGCACTCAGGTCATTTCCAGCCCCCAGGACTCCATGTTCTTTCCATTCTAGCATCTTGCCTCTCCTTGTACTAATACCTATTATGTAAAGGGATCCTTTGACTACAATATCATTAAGAGGCAGAAGCCTGGAGGAATCCTTTCCAGGAGATGCCAAGGGCTGCCACAATGAGCTGCTAGATCTGTATTCTCTCCTGGCTGTCTCGCCTTCTTCAGAGTTACAGTAATAAAGCACCATGACTAACAGAAAAGCCTTTATCATTGTTTTCTGTGCAGAGCCCCAAGTTATGATTAAGCGCATGTCTCTCGTTCTTTGTTACTCCAGGCGCAAGTTAACTTATGAAAATGAAGCTGTCATCTTGGCTTATTCATATCTCATCGCTAACAGCCAGATGAGGGAAAGTGAGCTGGCCGTAGCCTTCAACTTGCCATCTACAGGTGCTTAGGAGGAGGAGAAAAAGTAAAGGATAGCACCCTCCCCTCCCCACCTCCACCCACCTGTGGTAGCCAGCCAGGATTCTTGCTGCTTTGTAAGAGGAAACCACAGATGTTATCTGAATGTTTACTATGACCGTATCATGATACACATCTGACCCTTTCTTCTCACAGGATAAAGAACTGGGGTCCAAAAAGGTGACCTAATGCCCCAAATCACAGTGGTAGTAGAGAAGGGAAGCATGATGGAAATCTAGGTCAGTGGGCTCAAAATCAAAGTCATCCCTTGTGG